TGAAACTAACTTTAAGAAAGTAGGAGAAATTTACGTTTTTTTCCTGAGTTTGTGGTCTGGATTTTTCCTGCAGATGTGAAGAGGAGGGCACGATTAGCTGATTTTGGCATCAGTAGACGGTTACCCAAAGACCAAACATCTTATCGCACTTCCAGAGCAGGGACAAGATGTTGGATGGCCAAGGAGACTTTATCAGAAGAAGACGACACTAAGATACCATACAAGCCAAACTGTGATATACAGGTCAGTTATTCTGTTACACAAACTTAATTGACCTTAACATTTTGATTGATTAAATGTTCTTTTAATTCTAAAGGTAACAGGGATGGTGATTTATTATATCCTCTCTGGAGGACACCATCCTTTTGGTGACAAATCCTATGAATGTGAACACAACATTGTTAAAGGGCTCTACACTTTGGACCATGTTCAAGACGTGTTGGCAAAAGACCTCATTGAGTGGATGATTGATGCAGAACCAAAGAACAGACCTAAAGTGGAAGAATGCTTGAGGCACCCCTTCTTCTGGACCCCTGACAGGTACAACCATTTTAAACATAGCCAATTGGTTATGATTATTAAACTAATATGCTGTTGTTATTCAACTTTTCTATAAATAGTATAAATATTTTCTAAATAGTCTAAAAAACATTTTCATTTTTAAGGAGAATAGAATACTTGAGAAAAATGGGAAACAGGAAGGAGGCAGAAAACTGTCGAAATGCTGACCAGGAATTAATTTCTTTGCTGGAGAAATGCGCTGGATCCTTCAAACAGTGGAAAGATAAGGTGACTGCAACACAAGTTTTATTCTCTTTTTGAAACCAAAAATGTATCCTTACCACCACTTTTTACGAAGAACAATTATAACTAACTAACATTTGTTTTGATCACAGTTTCCACCAGAGTTGCTGAAGAAAATGGATGGCAAGAAGAAATGCTACCCTGAGAACACGTTGGGATTACTGCGCTGCATACGAAACCTCCAGGAGCACTAGTACGTAAAGTCACACTGAATTACAATGTTACCGGTTTACCTATAAATAATTTATGCTGGCTTGGAATCACCCCACCTGAGTTAGTGTTCAGAGTCTTAAAACATGTGTTAAGATCTTTATATGCAGAGACTGAAAGACAAAGTGTGTGTGGGTTACACATGACACATGAAAGCCTGTAGATTGTAGCAATATGCCTATGAAGATAATTAGAAAAACTAGGCTAAAACTAACGTTAGGATTTCAAGAAAATCTAAGCTAGTTAGCTAGCTCAACTCAAAATATACTGTAAATATAATCAGTTGGGTATCAAACTAAAAGTGTAAAATAAGATTGCAAGATGTGTTTTCAGTAGGCTAAAGCTAACGTTAGAAAAAAAGGGGCATACGGGAGGCAAGCTTTATAACAATCAGATTATTTTTCAATGATTTAGTTTTAAGCATTTTGAATGTAACTCAAAATACACTGTAAATATAATCAGCTAGCTATCAAACTAAAAGTGTAAAAATAAGATTTCAAGATGTGTTATCATAAAGCTAAAATTAGGAGTTCAAGAACATGTAAGCTAGTTAGCTAAATGTTTAGTTAAATAGTATGGCAAAAAGCATCTTTCACACATTCCCTGCACTTTGCCGGACGAATGTAAACAGCATCATAAAAACCTTTCTAGGCATCTAGCAAATTAACAGAAGGGAAGCATTGTAGGTCAATTATGATAGAACAACCAAACATCACTGATGTACACAGTCTGCTTCTTCTCTCCTCATAACTTAGAGGTAAAATCTTTCCTTTTTTTGTTTGCAGTGAGGTTGATGCAGCTCAAGTTGATGTGATGGAGATATATCCTGACCTCTTCGGATGTGTTTACAAGTTCGCGAAGACTCAAGGGTGGAATTCAGAGACCCCGTTGAAGGAAATGTTCCTTAGAGAAGACATCAGCACCAGCTTTACATCCGCAAGCCCTGAGGAGCCTCTGTCTGTCCCCGTACAAGAGTCTCAACCTAGCGACTTGAAGTGAAGAAGTACTTGAGTCTTGTAAGGAGTCAGAGAATAAAAGTACAAGCAATTCTGATGCAATGGTTTTTAACTGTTACTGTATAGTGTCCAATCTGAATACGCCTGTAAGGCTTTGCATGTGCATTGTACATAGGAACTAAAGGCTGACAGTAAGAGTGTACTGTAGTTCAATTTTAGGGACCTTTTACCTACATTAAAAATAAAAATAAATCACTTTTTAAAAACATTATGATGAACTATACTGTATTTGCAACATTATTTATTCATGGCTTCAGTCTATTTATTTGATGACTTATTACACACACGACATATGGTAAATACAAACATCTGGAAATTGAAAAAGTTAAATCACTGAATTTTCTGCATCTCAAATTAATAACTATATATATATTTAAACATTCTACTGTTGACATTTTTTTTCCACTATAGTTTTTTTTAAATCACATTTAAATGTTAGAATATTTTATAATTTTGTATTACCATGGTATTGCTATAATATGTTGGGGGAGCAGAAAGTGAGGGAGTTGATGTACTGAACTCTGAACTATACATACATAGACACTGATAGAAGCTCTTTATGTGTTTCAGTGATGTCACGGAAACCTACATACACTGTTGTACTAATAGAATCATCTAACTTTCTCTTTTTCAACTACAACTTTAAAAGGCTCCTCACTGAAGAAGTGATAGCTCAAATGTATGAACAAAATAAAAAGACATCATTTGTTTGTCTACAAATGAAGGAAACAATGTGTTTATGTAAATATGTTCACTCTAGTTGAGAGGCTTTTTCCATCTCATTCTCTTCTTACTAATACTGAATGTTAACTTACAAGCTACAACATGTACATACAACATGGACTGCAATGCCACTACCTGTTTGTCACACAAAACCTGAACAGAACTTTGCACTTACTTAAAAAAACAAACAAACAAAAAAACATTACTGCAACTTGCAAGTGCATGACATTCAAAAAAGAGTGTTTGTTCAATTATTTTTAAATGGACCTAACAAACTCAGAAGTCTACAAGTGCTTCTCCTCATTAAGAGAATGGTATTGTAAATTTTTTTTTTTTAAAACAGCATATTGGAATATGCAAGCTTTATAACATGCAGGTTATTTTTATGATTTTGTTTTAAGCATATTGAATGTTACTCAAAGTATACTGTAAATATAATCAGTTGGGTATCAAAATAAATGTGTAAAAATAAGATTGGAAGGTGTGTTTTATCATTTATTGGTCATCAGGATGAAAGGGCTCAGTCATTATGTCAAACCCAGAGTAAATTACCCAATGACTGCAGTTGCTCTCATTTAGTGCCTTTTAGCTTTGTTTTGATAGGCTGCAACTTCCGGGTTTAAAAGTGATTTAAAACCTGCATTTTCAGCGGTTGCAACAAAAGTCAGATTCTATCAAAGTCTATAAGAAAATTGCCATAAATATCACTTTTCTTACCTTACAGTTTCCTGACAAGTGCATGGTATCGATCTCTAGTTCCAAGTGTCTTTCAATACAGCATGATGTGTATTTTAAAAATGATCTCTTTTTTAGTAAAAATAGACGCTAAAGCTGCGTATGCTTAAGGGCGGAGCAAACGTGTGATTGACAGGTTGCTACAACAGTGTTGTTTGCTTTTGGTGTTTCCAGTGTTTTGGTTTTCGAACCTTAACCCTTTCACAGTGTATTTTTTGTTAATGGTAAAACATTTCCCGCCTAAAATGTATTTTCCACGTTCAGGTGTATTAGCTCGTGTCTCTTGTGGTTCCAAAAAGGAATAGATGGTGACGTCCAAAATGCTTTACTCTGAAAAAATTATTGTTCGTAACGTATCTGTGACTCTATCCACATTTTGTATACACTCAAAGGCTGCAACCTCACTGTTTTGGTTTAGTGGATTAAGCAGCATGTGGATTTTCAGTGAAAAAGCTCTCATGAGACATTGTACACTACCTGCTAACTCAAAAATGCAGAAATGTTTCAATACACAAATGATGTCACCATCCACTATAATGTATTTCAATGTGAGCTTCACAGGAAGCCTCTGCTCACAGTTAAACCACAATGCAAATGAGCACTGTAAAAAAGAAAAGGACTGTGACGTCATAAATCTGTTCAACAGTCGGTCGGCAATAATGGGTTACAAATGAACAAATCAAGAGTTTGGGGTTAAGATGGCAGCTTCCTTACAGATATGACCATAAAATACAGAATATTACTTTATGCACTAACATCACATGTGCACATCTACAGCACAGAGTTACATAATAGGTCCAGCTGATAACCCTCTAACTCAGAATGCTTCATATCCTAACCCTAAACCCATTTGATGTGCCTAGTTTGACGGTGTAAGTAGCACAGCTTACTGCAAAAAGTCCTACCACAGCAGAATTATACAATCTGAAAGTTGAACCATTGTCAGATAGGAACCTGTTTGTCTTTCTGTTATCCATTAGAAAGATGGCAGAAGGGCTTATTTACACCAACAGCTTAGTTTAATCAGCTTAAAAACTATTTTTCTTTCAATGACACGGTTGTTGGTTAAATAACTTTGAGGTTTCTCTGTCTTCTACAACTCCAGCAGTGGTTCCTGGTTATTAACACTGTGTTGTCTTGGAAATGCAGGCTGCCATTTAAGATATCAATCTTTTTTTAAATAAAACAAATGTGTCTAAAAAAAAGAATTCTTCGCTTCCCACAAGTAGACAGGTTGGAAGTAGCCGATCCTGCTTTGATTCTTAAGATTTAAGTGCTATTTCTTGTGCATTTATTTATTTAAATATATTATAAAGTTGCTGTGCCCTCTATGATAATGGTAGTATGTAAATATAGCAAGCAAATGCTTTGAGAACCTCTGTATTGTAAACGTGCAAACCCTACTTTAAATAACTTTTAGTTTCTATTTCCTGCCTCATACTGTCGGATCTTTCTAAAGAGACATAGAGGGAGCGGTAAAGACTGTTGGAAACCCCCACCATTCACGCCCAGCAAGTCCCTACAGACAGCGAGAGGCAGAGAGGAAGTGTGCAAGAGTCAGATAAGAAAGAAACAGCACAACATGTTAAGTTTTGATATAACTCGTACTGCTGCAGCCACCCCACGCTGACATCGTAAGTTAATTTATCTTCAATCCTCTAATACTGTTTTAGCTTTAAAATTGTATTTCTTAAATAATCAGTGTGGTCTCCTAAGAAGAGCACACTCGTGTTGCCTTTCTCCTGTTCATGATCCATTCTTATGGTTATTTGATGTCCTTTATAATGAATATTTATTTAATAGCACTATATGTTTATCCTTGTTCCTATGGCCCAAAGCTATAAAAGGATTTCCACAGCAATGGTCATTTAAAGTTTAAAGAGTTCCCACAGGTTAAAGGAATTGTATCTCCCTAAATGTAGTGTTGGTAAATGGAATATGGTTTCTAAAGCATTCTATAATCACACGCTAACATTTTAAAAGTAATAGATTTTGGCTGCTTGTCAACACTTTAAAGTGGCACCAAATATTGGAAAAGTAACATCATAGTTTTCTCTTTTTTGTCACAGGTACCTTGAAACCAAGAAATGAATATCATTACACAGATGCTGTTACCTCCCCCAAATGAAACACATCTTATAATAAAGAGTATTATTAACAACAACCTCAAGAAGCTCAAAGAATTAGTAAAGGAAACCAACATTAATGAACTTTACCCATGCAAAGAAGTTAATGACTATATAAATCCACTGATAGCTGCTGTTGTAAATCACAAAGTGGATATTTTGACATTCCTTTTGCATCAGGGTGCTGACCCAAACGAGGTTTCCACTAACGGCCTTACACCTCTGCATTATGTATCACTATCCAAAGCACCAGCTATTTACGTACAGAAACTGCTTGAAGCCAAAGCTCATCCAAATGGATCGAATCCAATGTTTACCCCTCTGCAAACTGCTGCCATCCATGACAGGGACGATGTCTTCAGAGTTCTCCTTTCAGCTGGAGCAATGGTAATGTTGTTGACTGGGGCTCAATATAAATGTCACAATGAAAAAATATCTCAGATGACTCATGACCTTGCATCGAGGGGAGATAAATTGTGCTCCAAAATCAGATATTTCCTAGATATGGGAATTGCTGTGTCAGAAAAAACACCTGAAGCAGTGTTCAAAATGTTTGACAGTCACATGCTGTTGCAGGATCCTCAGACCCATCTGACAATGATTGAAAGACTTTTTAATGTAACTGGGCTAGATGCAGAAAAATACAAGCAGCTAAGTATCAAATGGCTGAAGGACACTGGAAATCTTGACCCCTACATTGCAGATGCCGTCAGTCGCTTTCCAAACATTCTCCAGGACTATGTTGAATTCTCAATGGCCACTTTACATGCAGTTTTTTGCACTCTTGAAGATATACCAAATGAGCAAGCTTTGGGTATAATTGCCCAACTACTGAACCAGCTTAGCTCAAAAGAGAGACCTGATATATGGCCACCTGTTTTGTCCACTCTATATGTGATAACACAGAAGACAAAAGGCAGAAATAGCTGGGATCAGAACTTTGTTGAGAAGATATGCAAGACAATCGCTCCTTTTGTAGAGAGCCGAAACACCTTGGACATAAGACTTCTCACATACGGCACATTCGCAAACTTACTTTCAGTTAAACATGCAACCAGCATCTTTGCATCAGTGGAAATAACTTCAGTGCCTGAGGACATACTGATGTCTGCAGAAATGAATACAAATGAGAAGCTGAAAGAAGTGCTTAAGCAACTGAAAGATCATCTCAGCAAGCCAAGCATGGACTCTGAGGACTCCACAGTCTTACCTGAATCCAAAAAGAAGAAGAAGAAGAAAAAGAAAAACAAACAACAGTCAGAAAATCAAGAAGAACCAAATGATGAAGTTTGCAATGCTTCATCTAATCCAACAGTAGGCCCTGTTGAGGAGACCACTTCAAATGTGAAGCCAGTCCATGTCCAAACTACTAAATCAATGCCACGCAGATGGGAACAAAGCAGCGTGAGGTGGAGAGAAAAGTTAGAGAAGCTTGTGAGTACTGATGAAGAAGTGAGCAGAATTGGGAGCATGATATATGTAAATAAAGAAGAATTCCGCATAGCAAAAGGGAGTGACGGTACCCAAGTCTTCTTGGGGCTGAGAGATGATGGCACTGAAGTTGCTATTAAGAAAATATACAAATGCAACTATCAGTTGCTGAAGCATGAGGAAGGATTTCTACGGCTTCCAGAGCTTGACCATCCATCCATTGTGAGATACATTGACCAATCGGAGGATGACAACTTTGGATATCTTGGTCTTCAACTGTGTGAATACACCTTGGAAGAATACATAAAAACTCAGGATGATAGTCACTTGAGAAAGAAACTTGTCTATCAAGTTCTCGAAAGTTTAAGGGTGCTTCACTGTCAAGATCCTCCCATTCTCCACCGAGACCTCAAACCACAGAATGTTCTGATCGGTAAGATAAGTCCACAATATACTAAAATTATTAAACTAACTTTAAGAAAGTAGGAGAAATTTACGTTTTTTTCCTGAGTTTGTGGTCTGGATTTTTCCTGCAGATGTGAAGAGGAGGGCACGATTAGCTGATTTTGGCATCAGTAGACGGTTACCCAAAGACCAAACATCTTATCGCACTTCCAGAGCAGGGACAAGATGTTGGATGGCCAAGGAGACTTTATCAGAAGAAGACGACACTAAGATACCATACAAGCCAAACTGTGATATACAGGTCAGTTATTCTGTTACACAAACTTAATTGACGTTAACGTTTTGATTGATTAAATGTTCTTTTAATTCTTAAGGTGGCAGGGATGGTGATTTATTATATCCTCTCTGGAGGGCACCATCCTTTCGGTGACAAACCCCATAAATGTGAGAACAACATTGATGAAGGGAACTACACTTTGGACCATGTTCGAGACGTGTTGGCAAAAGACCTCATTGAGTGGATGATTGATGCAGAACCAAAGAACAGACCTAAAGTGGAAGAATGCTTGAGGCACTCCTTCTTCTGGACCCCTGACAGGTACAACCATTTTAAACATAGCCAATTGGTTATGATTATTAAACTAATATGCTGTTGTTATTCAACTTTTCTATAAATAGTATAAATCTTTTCTAAATAGTCTAAAAAACATTTTCATTTTAAGGAGAATAGAATACTTGAGAAAAATGGGAAACAGGAAGGAGGCAGCAAACTGTCGAAATGCTGACCAGGAATTAATTTCTTCACTGGAGAAATGCGCTGGATCCTTCAAACAGTGGAAAGATAAGGTGACTGCAACACAAGTTTTATTCTCTTTTTGAAACCAAAAATGTATCCTTACCACCACTTTTTACAAAGAACAATTATAACGAAACTAACTAACATTTGTTTTGATCACAGTTTCCAAAAGAGTTGCTGAAGAAAATGGATGGCAAGAAGAAATGCTACCCTGAGAACACGTTGGGATTACTGCGCTGCATACGAAACCTCCAGGACCACTAGTACGTAAAGTCACACTGAATTACAATGTTACCGGTTTACCTATAAATAATTTATGCTGGCTTGGAATCACCCCACCTGAGTTAGTGTTCAGAGTCTTAAAAAATGTGTTAAGATCTTAATATGCAGAGACTGAAAGACAAAGTGTGCGTGGGTTACACATGACACATGAAAGGCTGTAGATTGTAGTAATATGCCTATGAAGATAATTAGAAAAACTAGGCTAAAACTAACGTTAGGATTTCAAGAAAATCTAAGCTAGTTAGCTAGCTCAACTCAAAATATTACAGGGTTGCCAACTCTCACGCATCTGGCGTGTGACACACGCTTTCTCTCTCAATCTCACGCTCTCACGCTGCCCAAACTATTCTCACGCCAAAAACAAGAATACCGAAGACTAGAAACGGTTTTGAAAACTTTTGTCACGTAGTGATCGTCTTCTCAATAGAACATCTTTGATAATGTCTTCTGGCCTATCAGAATCAAGATAACGGCGTGGTGTTGTTCCAGGAAGTCCCGACTGAGAATACTTTTGCTGTAGTACATCTCTATATACATCGATACAACATTACGTGTTGATAGAAATCAACACGTAATGAAATAAGACCCCACGGTTTGATGATTGATAGGTGCAGGGACGTGCACAGGTACGGGCTAATGTTGCCAGGGCAACGGCCCGTTTGGCCTTTTTGGCTGACCTGCCCCTCTGGAGAGAGCGAGAGTTTATTTTTATTTTTTCTGTTGTGGCCGAATCAACATGATCGAGGATCTCATTGTTTGACCTTAAGGGATATAGGCCTACACTGTGGCCCTAAAGCAACTGCTCCATTATCTGTATCAAATGCAGACATTGATGCCACCAAATGTCAAAAATAAAAATAGAAAGTACTACAAATAAACTGGAATTCATTTACATCTTAAATTATGAATATATATACACAAAAAAGGTTTACAAATATCCAACCTTCAAATTGCTTTTTTAAATCAACACTGCTCTGCACGGCCGAGGCTATATACAGGACGGTCCTGCCCCTGCGAGATGGAGTTCATGACTTTATGAGCTGTTCATGAGCACTCATGAAACATTCATGAACAACTCATTATATGTTCACTTGTCATGTTCATGAACCAAAATTCTTAAAATGCTCATGAACCATTTTAAAGAGCAGTTCATGAAATTGTTATGAACATTGTTCATTCATATAAAGTTCCTGTTTTGCTCATGACAGACTTTTATGAGCAATTTATGAACTTTTCATGATCCAGCCAATCACAAAATTATAATTAAAACCCCAAAAAGTTTGCATGAGCATTTCATGAACTTTTCATGACTATGAGCATTTCATGAATTTTGGATGATTGTGGCAAGTTCAGAATATTTTTGAATATTCATGAGCATTTTATGAACTTTTGATGATCAGTGTGATGATTTTAAAGACCTCTTGAATATTCATCTACTATTTGAACATTTCTTTATTTTTTAAAAACTTTTAATCTTAAAACAAAACAATAGTGCATTTGAAACTGAACGTTATCTGTATTTATTTTGGTGACATTCATATCATTTTATGGTTTATCTGTACTGTTTGAGAAGCAGTACGAGTAAGTAGCGCCAAGGTGGAACCTTTGGCAGGTGAGCGGTGACATCTGGGTTATCTTAGGGGGGACACTTCCGCCCCCTCCTCAGTCAGAAGCAATCCAGACGATCAACCGGATCCTGTGTATAATTATTGCTGCTGCACTTTTCTGTTTTCTACAGGTCAGTACATGATGAAAATGATCGATGTTAACTTGTGTGAATTAGATATGATGTTGGAGATGTTTAGGAGAGTGTCTCAGAAAGTTTTGAGCATGTTTGACATAGTAACAGTATTTTAAAAATACTAAACTGTCGGCAACAATAGATGCCATTTTCGCGGGCTTCAGCCGCGCCTGGGTAAATGTGACCTGAGCGAAGGCTCGCACCCCTGCGAGATGGAGTTCATGACTTTATGAGCTGTTCATGAGCACTCATGAAACATTCATGAACAACTCATTATATGTTCACTAAATGTGACCTGAGCGAAGGCTCGCTGCACAACGCCAAATGGCTATATACAGGACCGTCCTGTACACAGCTCTCTGAAATGGCTATATACAGGACGGTCCTGCACAGAAGCCCTGAAATGGCTATATACAGGACGGTCCTGTATATAAGGTCTCTGAAATGGCTATATACAGGACCGTCCTGTATATAAGGTCTCTGACATGGCTATATACAGGACCGTCCTGTATACAAGCTCCGAAATGGCTATATACAGGACCGTCCTGTATACAAGCTCCGAAATGGCTATATACAGGACCGTCCTGTATATAGCCATTTCAGAGAGCTGTTTACAGGACGGTCCTGTATATAGCCATTTCGGAGCTTGTATACAGGACCGTCCTGTATATAGCCATTTCAGAGGGTTGTGTACAGGACGGTCCTATATATAGCCATTTCAGAGGGTTGTGTACAGGACGGTCCTGTATATAGTCATTTGGCGTTGTGTACAGGACCGTCCTGTATATAGCCATTTGGCGTTGTGTACAGGACGGTCCTGTATATAGCCACTCCCGCTCTGCACACTTGCTAAAGAACATTTGTCTGGAAATCTCAATTAATTTGTAGGGCTGCATGAGTATGGCCAAAAGTATGGGAGTAAATCTCACTGTAAACTATTTAATCATCACCAAATTCTGTGTTATTATGACCGATCATAACTCAGCTTTATGCAGACATATTTAGCATGGTGTACAGGGCCGCTTCTTGGCATAGGCGACATAGGCGGTCGCCTAGGGTGCCAGATCTGGGGGGGGGCACTGCGCTGGCAGCTCTGGGAGGGAAAAAAACATTTTTACTGTTTGCACTCATCCTAATTTTCGGCCTTGATGTAACAGCCTTCATAATTAAGTCAAGGTGCACCCTTTTCACCCCGGGTTACACTTTTCATTTGCCCTGTACGATGGGCGCTGTAATTGATGAAAGTGGGGGGTGTTGGCTTATCAGGCGTCCGCAGCTCACAACCAAAGTGGGTGTGGGATCGAGCGAGAGAGATAAATGCAATTTATGTAAACACATATTTCCAAGGCACTCTTTTATAATTATTGGGGTAAACAGGTTTGAAATCATTTCAATGTATACTATAGGACAGTAAACCAAAAATATTGTTTAAAACTTGAGAGATACAAAAATATGCATAAATAAATGTTAACTAGGTAAAATAAGATATGAATGAACAACAAAAATAAAATAAGTTGCATTTATTTGCTATTGGTTATGTTCACATACTTATTTGATTATTAAAATGTAAACCAATCTTTTTCATATGGGTGTTTTATGGCCCAAATACTGACTTGAGCCCCACCACTGTATGGGTTAGCCCTACCATAGATTACCCAACGAAAATACTCTCTCGCAACTGCCGACCCGTATTGCGCAAGCGCAGATCTAAGATCCAGTAGAAATGATAACAAAGTAAAAGTCTGCTGCTTATTGTTCTACTAGGCCAAAATAGAGTCAAAGAGTATATGAGAGTGAGAGTGTGTTAATTAATATATTTGGCAGTTTGGAGTAAGTCTGCAGATTTGTTTGTGTGTGTGTGTTTCATGTATAGCTCTCACGATAATTAATTTTGTTGGATACATTTTCCCGGAAATTATTGCGATAAACGATAATATTGTCAGCACCGTTGTATGACCATTTTAGACCACTGACATAATGATAATATATAATAATAATTCAAGTACATCCTTTCAAACTGCTAGTCACATCCTCATGTAAATGGCAATTTATCGAGTTCATTTTTATTTATCGTACGATACGTCAATTCATTGCTTATCGCGACAGGCACACAATAAAACAGTGGAAACAAACATGTGTTTGACTTTCATTAGTGAATGAAACTTTGTGCCCTTTATCTGTGTCCAATATTGTGTATTTGTATATATTGTATAGCCTATATATCCTATATATATGCTAAGGTCCCGCTGCTGACACGATAGCAGTCATTTCGTGCGCATATGTAATTAAACCCATGATATCAAAATCTCACTCCAGCCAGGTACCCAAAGTTGGCAACCCTGAAATATACTGTAAATATAATCAGTTGGGTATCAAACTAAAAGTGTAAAATAAGATTGCAAGATGTGTTTTCAGTAGGCTAAAGCTAACGTTAGAAAAAAAGGGGCATACGGGAGGCAAGCTTTATAACAATCAGATTATTGTTCAATGATTTAGTTTTGAGCATTTTGAATGTAACTCAAAATACACTGTAAATATAATCAGTTAGCTATCAAACTAAAAGTGTAAAAATAAGATTTCAAGATGTGTTTTCAGTAGGCTAAAGCTAAAATTAGGAGTTCAAGAACATGTAAGCTAGTTAGCTAGCTAAATGTTTAGTTAAATAGTATGGCAAAAAGCATCTTTCACACATTCCCTGCACTTTGCCGGACGAATGTAAACAGCATCATAAAAACCTTTCTAGGCATCTAGCAAATTAACAGAAGGGAAGCATTGTAGATTAACTATGATAGAACAACCAAGCAGCACTGATGTAAACAGAATATGCCTCTTCTCCACTCATAATTTAGAGGTAAAATCTTTCTTTTTTTGGTTTGCAGTCAGGTTGATGCAGCTCAAGTTGATGTGATGGAGATATATCCTGACCTCTTCGGATGTGTTTACAAGTTCGCGAAGACTCAAGGGTGGAATTCAGAGACCCCGTTGAAGGAAATGTTCCTTAGAGAAGACATCAGCACCAGCTTTACATCCACAAGCCCTGAGGAGCCTCTGTCTGTCCCCGTACAAGAGTCTCAACTCAGCGACTTGAAGTGAAGAAGTACTTGAGTCTTGTAAGGAGTCAGAGAATAAAAGTACAAGCAATTCTGATGCAATGGTTTTTAACTGTTACTGTATAGTTTCCAATCTGAATACGCCTGTAAGGCTTTGCATGTGCATTGTACATAGGAACTAAAGGCTGACAGTAAGAGTGTATTGTAGTTCAATTTTAGGGACCTTTTACCTACATTTAAAAAAAAAAAAAATCACTTTTTAAAACATTATTATGATGAACTATACTGTATTTGCAACATTATTTATTCATGGCTTCAGTCTATTTATTTGATGACTTATTACACACATGACATATGGTAAATACAAACATCAGGAAATTGAAAAAGTTAAATCACTGAATTTTCTGCATCTCAAATTAATAACTATATATATATTTAAACATTCTACTGTTGACATTTTTTTTCCACTATAGTTTTTTTTAAATCACATTTAAATGTTAGAATATTTTATAATTTTGTATTACCATGGTATTGCTATAATATGTTGGGGGAGCAGAAAGTGAGGGAGTTGATGTACTGAACTCTGAACTATACATACATAGACACTGATAGAAGCTCTTTATGTGTTTCAGTGATGTCACGGAAACCTACATACACTGTTGTACTAATAGAATCATCTAACTTTCTCTTTTTCAACTACAACTTTAAAAGGCTCCTCACTGAAGAAGTGATATCTCAAATGTATGAACAAAATAAAAATACATCATTTGTTTGTCTACAAATGAAGGAAACAATGTGTTTATGTAAATATGTTCACTCTAGTTGAGAGGCTTTTTCCATCTCATTCTCTTCTTACTAATACTGAATGTTAACTTACAAGCTACAACATGTACATACAACATGGACTGCAATGCCACTAACTGTTTGTCACACAAAACCTGAACAGAACTTTGCACTTACTTAAAAAAAAAACAAAAAAAAACATTACTGCAACTTGCAAGTGCATGACATTCAAAAAAGGGTGTTTATTCAATTATTTTTTAAATGGACCTAACAAACTCAGAAGTCTACAAGTGCTTCTCCTCATTAAGAGAATGGTATTGTAATAAAAAATTTTTTAAAACAGCATATTGGAATATGCAAGCTTTATAACATGCAGGTTATTTTTATGATTTTGTTTTAAGCATATTGAATGTTACTCAAAGTATACTGTAAATATAATCAGTTGGGTATCAAAATAAATGTGTAAAAATAAGATTGGAAGGTGTGTTTTATCATTCATTGGTCATCAGGATGAAAGGGCTCAGTCATTATGTCAAACCCAGAGTAAATTACCCAATGACTGCAGTTGCTCTCATTTAGTGCCTTTTAGCTTTGTTTTGATAGGCTGCAACTTCCGGGTTTAAAAGTGATTTAAAACCTGCATTTTCAGCGGTTGCAACAAAAGTCAGATTCTATCAAAGTCTATAAGAAAATTGCCATAAATATCACTTTTCTTACCTTACAGTTTCCTGACAAGTGCATGGTATCGATCTCTAGTTCCAAGTGTCTTTCAATACAGCATGATGTGTATTTAAAAAATGATCTCTTTTTTAGTAAAAAATAGATGCTAAAGCTGCGGAGCAAACGTGTGATTGACAGGTTGCTACAACAGTGTTGTTTGCTTTTGGTGTTTCCAGTGTTTTGGTTTTCGAACCTTAACCCTTTCACAGTGTATTTTTTGTTAATGGTAAAACATTTCCCGCCTAAAATGTATTTTCCACGTTCAGGTGTATTAGCTCGTGTCTCTTGTGGTTCCAAAAAGGAATAGATGGTGACGTCCAAAATGCTTTACTCTGAAAAAATTATTGTTCGTAACGTATCTGTGACTCTATCCACATTGTGTATACACTCAAAGGCTGCAACCTCACTGTTTTGGTTTAGTGGATTAAGCAGCATGTGGATTTTCAGTGAAAAAGCTCTCATGAGACATTGTACACTACCTGCTAACTCAAAAATGCAGAAATGTTTCAATACACAAATTATGTCACCATCCACCATAATGTATTTCAATGTGAGCTTCACAGGAAGCCTCTGCTCACAGTTAAACCACAATGCAAATGAGCATTGTAAAAAAGAAAAGGACTGTGACGTCATAAATCTGTTCAACAGTCGGTCGGCAATAATGGGTTACAAATGAACAAATCAAGAGTTTGGGGTTAAGATGGCAGCTTCCTTACAGATATGACCATAAAATACAGAATATTACTTTATGCACTAACATCACATGTGCACATCTACAGCACAGAGTTACATAATAGGTCCAGCTGATAACCCTCTAACTCAGAATGCTTCATATTCTAACCCTAAACCCATTTGATGTGCCTAGTTTGACGGTGTAAGTAGCACAGCTTACTGCAAAAAGTCCTACCACAGCAGAATTATACAATCTGAAAGTTGAACCATTGTCAGATAGGAACCTGTTTGTCTTTCTGTTATCCATTAGAAAGATGGCAGAAGGGCTTATTTACACCAACAACGTTTTTTCTGTCAATGACACGGTTGTTGGTTCTTCTATAACTCAGTGGCCAAAAAAGTTTAGGTTCCTGGTTATAAATGTAGGCTGCCATTTAAGATATCAATTTGTTTAAGATAAAACATATGTGTTTTTAAAAAAATGAAATCTTCGCTTCCCACAAGTAGACAGGTTGGAAGTAGCCGATCCTGCTTTGATTCTTAAGATTTAAGTGCTATTTCTTGTGCATTTATTTATTTAAATATATTATAAATTTGCTGTGCTTTCTATGATAATGGTAGTATGTAACTATAGCAAAACAATGCAAATGCTTTGTGAACCTCTGTATTGTAAATGTGCAAACCCTACTTTAAATAATTTTAGTTTCTATTTCCTGCCTCATACTGTCGGATCTTTCTAAAGAGACATAGAGGGAGCGGTAGAGACTGTTGGAAACCCCGCCCATCATTCCCATCTCGCCCAGCAAGTCCCAACAGACAACGAGGCAGATAGGAAGAGTGCCAGAGTCGGATCGGACAGAAAAAGCACAGCATGTTAAGTTTTGATAAAACTCATACTGCTGCAGACACCCCCCGTTGACATCGTAAGTTAATTTTGTTTCAATCCTCTAATACTGTTTTAGCTTTAAAATTGTACTTTAGAATAATCCGTGTGGTCTCCTAAGACGAGCACACTCGTGTTGCCCTTCTCCTGTTCATGATCCATTCTTATGGTTATGTTATGTGATTTATAATGAATGTTTATTTAGTAACACGATATTTCATCCTTGTTCCTATGACCCAAAGCTATAAAAGGATTTCCACAACAATGGTCATTTAAAGTTTAATTCTGGCTTCCAGCCTGAAGGAGGAAGTTCAGAGTCTAGAATGGTTAGTGAGGCACAAGGTGTGGCTGTCACGATCTGTCTTTGTGGTGTTTTGTCTTGTCTAGATCTGTTTTTGGTTTTCTGTCTGCGTTGTGTTTTGTCTTGTTTGGATCTGTCTGTGGTTCCCTGTCGTTAGGTTCCCTGGTGTGTCTGATTACCCGATTGTGTTCACCTGTGGCCCCTGTGTTTTCTCCTCCCTCCTCACCTGTGTCTTGTTTGTGTGATTAGTCTTGTGTGTATTTAAGTTCTGGTTTTTCTGTCTGTCTTTGTCGGTTCGTCTTTCGTTGTTGACTGTGTTCACCGGTGAGTGTTCTGTCTGTCCAAGTTCTATATCGTTATCCTTGAAATAAAGGTATATCAGTTTAATCTGCATTTGGGTCCTGCTTCCTTCGCTCTACCGTGACAGAACGAACCGACCAAGAATGGACCCAGCAGACAGTTTGTACGAGGTGAAGTACAATTTAACATGCTTGAGGAATGACTTTAGATATGCCTCCAGTACTGAAGAGCGGCAGTCAGTTATTTCTGTGGCACACCAGGAGGTAACCTCAAGGCTCTGGTTGAGGGAGTTGCTCCCCGAGTGGGTGGAGGACTTTTTGGGCAGCTTTGAGGTCAAACCTCTTTCCCGGCCTGCTAGCTCCAGGCATGCTAGCCCCTGCCTCCCAATTCCCAACATGACACCATACGTCTCGGTGTGTTCCGTCTGGAGTCAACCTCTGCTTTTCCCCCAGTTCCTGCTCCTGTCCAGGAGCCGTTCTCTGGAACTCTGGCTTATGGAGGTCCACGGAGTATTCAGGCGGCTGCTAAGAGGAGTCGTCGCAAGGCCAGGCTAGCAGCCCGAGCAGCCATGGTTCCGGCTACAGAACCGGCCCACACAGCCATGGTTCCAGACCCAGTTCTGGCCCCAGCAGCCATAGATTCGGCTCCAGAACCAGACCTTACAGCCATGTTTCCGGCTCCAGAACCGGACCTTACAGCCATGTTTCCGGCTTCAGAACCGGACCTTACAGCCATGTTTCCGGCTTCAGAACCGGACCTTACAGCCATGATTCTGGCTTCAATTCCGGCTCCAGAGCCGGCCCATTTAGCCATGTTTCCGGCTCCAGAACCGGACCTTACAGCCATGTTTCCGGCTCCAGAACCGGACCTTACAGCCATGTTTCCGGCTTCAGAACCGGACCTTACAGCCATGATTCTGGCTTCAATTCCGTCTCCAGAGCCGGCCCATTCAGCCATGTTTCCGGCTCCAGAACCGGCCCACACAGCCATGGTTCCAGACCCAGTTCTGGCCCCAGCAGCCATGGATTCGGCTCCAGAACCGGACCTTACAGCCATGTTTCCGGCTCCAGAACCGGACCTTACAGCCATGATTCTGGCTTCAATTCCGGCCCCCGCAGCCATGGTTCCAGACCCAGCTCTTGCCCCAACTGCCATAGTCCCATCTCTGGTCCCCTCTCTAGTCTCTTCTCGAGTTCCCCCTCTAGTCCCTTCCCTAGTCCCTCCTCAGGTCACTTCTCTAGTCCCATCTCCAATCCCCTCTCGAGTCCCCTGTCGAGTCCCCTCTCCAGTCCAATCTCAAGTTCCCTCTCAAGTCCCCTCTCGAGTCTCCTCTCAAGTCACCCCTCCAGTCCCCTCTCCAGTTCCCTCCTCGAGTCCCCTCTCTAGTTCCCCTCTCAAGTCCCCTCTCGAGTTCCCTTCTCTAGTTCCTCCTCTAGTCCCTCCTCAGGTCACTTCTCTAGTCCTTTCTCAAGTCTCTCCTCTCTCCTCTAGTCCCATCTCTAGTCCCATCTCCAGTGCCTCCTTTAGTCCCTTCCCTAGTCCCTTCTCAAATCCCAACTCTAGTCCCCTCTCGAGTTCCCTCTCCAGTCCCCTCTCGAGTTCCCTCTCCAGTCCCCTCTCGAGTTCCCTCTCCAGTCCCAACTCAAGTCCCTACTGAAGTGCCGTTGGAGGTTCCGCTGGGGCTCCTGCCAACTCCATGTTCTGTCCCGTTGGAGGTCCCCCCGACTACTCTCCTGCCGGGGGTCCTGCCAATCCTATGTCCTGTCCCGTTGGGGGTCCCGCCGACTACTCTCCTGCCGGGGGTCCTGCCAACCCCTTGTCCTGTCCCGTTGGAGGTCCCGCCGTCTACTCTCCTGCCGGGGGTCCTGCCAGCCCCTTGTCCTGTCTCGTTGGAGGCCCCGCCGACTACTCTCCTGCCGGGGGTCCTGCCAACCCCTTGTCCTGTCCCGTTGGAGGTCCCGCCATCTACTCTCCTGCCGGGGGTCCTGCCAACCCCTTGTCCTGTTCCGTTGGAGGCCCCGCCATCCTCTGTCTCGCCGGGGGTCCTGCCAATCCCGTGTCCTAGTCCTCTTCCGTGGGGGATCCTGCCGAGGCCTGTCCCACCAGCTCCGGTTCCTGTCCGGCCGACACCGGGTCCTGCCCGGCCTCCGGCGCTGGCCCGTCAGCGCCTTCCTGCCCGGCCCCCTGAGAGCCGCGGTCTTCGCCCTCGAGCCCGGCCCCCTGAGAGCCGTGGTCTTCGCCCTCGAGCCCGGCCCCCTGAGAGCCGCGGTCTTCGCCCTCGATCCCGGTCCTCTGTGAGCCGCGGTCTTCGCCCTCGAGCCCGGCCCCCTGAGAGCCGCGGTCTTCGCCCTCGAACCCGGCCCGCTGTGAGCCGTGGTCTTCGCCCGCGATCCCGGCCCCCTGACTCTTCCTGCCGCTACCTTCGCCCTCATGCTCGGCCGCCCGAGTCCCCCAC